TTATAGGCCAATTGCTCAGTGAAGTTGCTTTGAGATATGAGGCGATGACTTGAATGGCATATATTGAAGGAAAATGCTACGGTCCCGTTACGAAACAATTCCATCGAGATTTGTAACTGTTAGATCATCATGTAACTGTCAGAGATAGTTGATCTAACAGTTACAAATCCTGACGGAATGATCCCGTAACGAGACCGTAGCATCTCCCTATATTGAACACATGTGGGATTGATCACGTTTCGTTAACGAATCATTCCGTCACTTTTTCTAACGGTATATTATCTCCTCTACACTAATCTACACATGTATATGTAACGGTTAAAAATACTGACGAAATGATTTTATTAACGGGATTGTAGTCATTCCTGTTATTGTTGTTGTTTTTTTTTTTGAGTAAATTATAATTTTAGTCCTGTATGTTTCACTACTTTAACTTTTCGTCCTCTTCGAATTGTGTTTTTGATTTTCGTCCCGTATGTTTCAAAAAAGGTTACAGAAAAGTCCTTTTCGCAGCAAAAAGGTCTTTTATGTTTTGCAAAAAAGTATTCCAATTCCGTCCCTTATGTATGAAAAGGACCATTGTGTAACATTTTTTCCAATATAGGGGACGAAAATCAAAAACGCAATTCGAAGAGGACAAAAAAGTTAAAGTAGTGAAACATACATGACTAAAATTATAATTTACTCTTTTTTTTTTATTTTTTGAAAATTATTTTTTGTCCTCGACGTTCTTTTTTAAAATTCAAAGTGGTACCACAAATCTAAATCTTCAATTATTCATCTTCAGTATTTTAAAACGTGTTGGGACCATTTTTGTCATGTAGTACGACCGTCCTCAATTATTCATCTTATCATTTTATTTGTGTGAGAAAAAAATTGGACACTTTGCATTGTAATATCTGTTGGAATTTCTAGTTATGTCATCGCAATATCTGTTGGAATTTGCATTGTAAAATATTAATATTTTACCGTTGAATATTTCGTTAGAATACGATCATTTTTGTTGTGGTCAAAGTGTTTTGTAATTTTAGAAGTCATGAATAGAAAGTCTAGATTCATGTGGATTACGCCAAACACTATTAATTGGCGCATATTACAGAACACAAAAAATCAACACACATAAGATTACAGAACACTATTTTTTGACACATAGGTCTGATAAATAAACTATACATTTATATATAAAAAGTGATAATTTTGAAAACAATTCTTACAATAACTAAGTTTTAGAATGCATTATTTTTCTTCAATAAACTGGAAAAAAATGGCTTCTAAAAGTTTTTGAATATTTATTGTTACACTACAAAAAAAAAAATTGATAAAATTTCCCACGAAAATACATTATCATGGATTTTCCATGGCAATTTCAATGCTATTATCTCCGTTTATTGAGTTTCTGCTATTGAAATTCGGAGATCAATATTTGCAGTTCCAATAAAGTTGGTACGAGCAATTTTCATGATAGAGTATTCTCCTCGGAAAAATGTGGCCTTTTTGTTTCTCTTGTTTCATTTGTCGTGGTTTTACAGTTAGCTTGTTGTTTTGAATTTACAGTTGATGGATTTAGGGGTTGGATTATAGAGAATGATTGAAAAACAGCTGCTGCCACGTTCATTCATCAACTCAAATTTCAAACTTTGCACCATCATCAACTTAATGAAAAACTAGAGCACCCATCATCAACTAAAAGTCCACAAACAACTGTCATCTGAGGAGGCCGGGCGAGGGTGAGGCCGAGCGAGAGTGAGGCCGAGTTGATGGTACACGGCGGCTACATCAAACTTCAATGAAAGGAAACAACCTGCCAGATCTAGTAATAGATCAATTTCAGATTTTTGATTTACTTCGGTAACCGAAAAAATCGGTTCGCTTCTGTTCGGTTCGGTTTTTTTTTTTTTCTTTTTTTTGTCGGTTCGGTTCGGTTCGGTCTTTTTAATGTCAGTTTGGTTCGATTTCCGGTTTTCGGCTTTCGATTTAAAATGTCCACCCTAATTTTAACTATCCAAGGTTTTTAATTACGTCTCTCATACTTTTACATCAAATTAAGTTTAATTATTTTATTTTAAATATTATTTTAGCATACAAACTTAAAATCTCATTCAAATCTAACACAATCCGTGTGAAAGAAAAAACACAGTCCAACATTTTTAAAATTAACTCTTATTAAACTTAAAGAAATTAATTTGTATGTGTGGATCATATTATTACCCTGTTGGGGTCGTTTTTAGTGTGTTTGTGTTTTTCTGTGT